TGTAGATATGATGGGTGTAATTAATTGTTCAGCTAAAAATGCAATTCCATGGTGCTTTTAATGATTTAGGTATACACAGCTTTAGTTCTCAGAGAAGACTAAAAATAGTGATTTTAATTTATTCCTGCTGCCTACAATTACCCACAACCATGTATTTTTAAATATTTCCAGCCTATAAAAATTACTAATTTTTGCCACTTGTGTTTATCTGCATTTAGACTTTGATTTGGATAAATTAAGCTCTCAAGTGTTCCTTGCTTTATGAAACTCTGCATGTTGTACACTTCAACACAAATAAATGACTTGTACCATTAGAGGTTTAAATAATGTAATGTATTTCATGCTCAGCCTGAAGCTGGATTCCAATGAAGTTGCTAATGCACGTAATGATTAAGTGTAACTCAAATACTAACTGTGTTGTTGAAAACATGACAGGCAATAATTTGGTCTATTATATTCTGCCATTTAATTGCCTAGTACAGACATTCTCTGACACGTTATGAAGCAATGATTTACAATTATTCAAGCTGCAAAGGTCAGAAAGTGACATTATAATCATCTACATAGAGATCCCTTCTAATGCACAAAAACTAGGTAATGCCATACATGCAAAAAAAAAAAAAAAAGAGTTGTACTGCATTAGTAACTTTCTATTTAAGGTTTCTTAAACCAGCTAAGAATAAACAGTTCATAAGCATATTAATACACAACAGAAAATGTCTAGAAACTTTTCATGAACCCGGAGGTGACAGATTTATAAAATGCCCTTATTCTCTCCTGATTAGGTAAATTCTACTCAGCTATTTAACTTTATACACAAGACTCAAGACTAGACATAGGAAAAGAAATCAGAAAATAACATAAGCCCTAAACCATGCATACTGAATCTTTGTGAATAATGCCATACAAAGTTAGGTGTATTTTCTAGGTTTATTAACATCACAGGCCACTTACTAGTTTTCTACTAACTCTTATTCTTTAGTAACTAGTAATGAAAAAAAATAAATAACTCAGGTTGATCAAATTTACCCCTCTCATCCTAATGAAAAGATAATAAAATCTTCACTTCTTGAGGCACTTCTTTCTGTTATACCAACACATTTAATTTTTAACCACTCAAGTGCAATAAACGATCAACATGTAAAGAACTACTGGGAAAAATAATAAAATTATTTAAAACAGTTTAATATGAGAAAAGTGAAACAGAAAGATACAAATGAGAGAGACTGAATCACAAAATACTAATGTAAAACACCATGCAAGCTGCTTTTTAACAGAATAGGAACTCGAGCAAAGGCAGAAGCAAGAGGGGCTGTGGCAGGAGGCAGCCCGCCGCCCGCCCCACCGGCCAGCGGGGCCGCCCCCAGAGGAGAGGCGAGTGCGGGGGGAGCGGCCAAAACCACAGAGGGCACAGGGAGCAGGAGAAGGAAGAAAAGGGGCCGGGAAAAGGAGGGAGACGGTGGTCAGCCGTGACCACGGAGTCATTTAAGTCCATCACTAAAAATGCATTTAATCTCAAGTTTACCATCTGTACAGTGGGGATAACAAAGGTGAGATGAACAATCTCACGAACCCACAGAGACCAACACATAAAATAAATGTTAATTAAGGTGCACACTAACCCACAACACTGCATATATACTATTTATTAGAGTATTTTACATATACTATTAGATATACACTGAGAGAGAGAGCACTAAATAAACTCAAATGAATGTAAAAAGCATGGTGTCTATAATGACTTTTATGAGCTATTGAGATTTTTAAGTTCTTGACTCTTTAAAAAAACAGAAGCAAAGATCACAGTTTTGGTAAAAATTAGTTTAACCTGTTTTTAAACATATGTCCCAAACAAAATTATTAACTTATGTCCAGGACTGCGTCCCATTCTTTGTTATTTTCTCCCTCCCTCAGATGTAAGATAAAGAAACTGTGCTCTTCAAAAACTGCTCCTCCTAAAAGTGAAAGTAAAATTAAAGGCTCGTAAATGAAGTTATCTATCACACATTCTGGAAGCAGGAAGTGCAAAGCAATCCGTTTCTGAGCTTTCCACAGCGCCATGAGCACAGAAACCCTGCGTAAACAAACCTTAAATCCTGAACGCTGCATCTAGCTGCCTGGTAGGAACCACATATCGAATCAGCTTCTCTTGTCAAACTAACTTAAATCCATGATATGCTGCAACTGAGATATGCTGATGGGGGCAAAATTATCTTAAAGTTCCTCTTCAAGATTCAAAGAAAATCAGCATAGGTTCAAAAAAACTGAAGTAAAAGTTAAAAAGGCAGTTTTTGTTAAGGGAGTAGTTAGTACACAACCCTTAAACTAAGACTTAAAAAAAAAGTCAGCTATACATTTGATGAGCATCCAAAGTCTTCGCATAGAGAGACATATAAAGACAAGAGAAAAAAGTCAAACAATTACAAATAACCTGAAACATTACTACTGAGCTCAAGTCAACAAAATGCGCTCTTTGTGGTTTCCACCAATTTCACCATAATATATTAGAGTTTGGTGTTTTTCCCCCCCCAAAAAACCAGCGGTTACTAAAAAAAAAAAAAAAACAAAACAAAAATAGTAGACTGTTGTAATCATTTCGTTCTTAAAATGTGCCGGCCCCACTGTTTTTACATATTATTATGCAATCAAAACTATCTGAAAAAGTTTATTTCTTACAACTCAAATAATGAAGAGGTTATTAATAAAGTTCTGAAGACAAAGGGACTAACTACTGCAGAAAAGAAAACATAGTGCAGGACCTTCTGTTTGTGACAAAATTATAGGGTTATTGTTCCTGAAAGATCGCTTCACCTTTTAATGCGTGATTTTCAAAAAGGTAAAACAGATGGCAATTGCAGCCAATGAAGAAATGCAGCAGGTGCTGCTTATGCTCAGGAACGGACAGCCCACCGAGCGGCCCTAAGGGGGCTGAGCTGCCCCGTGGCAGCGCTCCGACACCGGCAGCAAAGTCACTGCACCGGGGCTCCCCACCGTCTCTAATCTCCTGCCAAGTCTTGCCGTTTTCAGTGTTTTTCACTTGCATGTGGAACCTGCACACCGCCCTCTCCCTTGGAAACACACCACACCCCTATGATGCTCTCTCTGTAACACCAAGGGTGTCTAGCTCCCAGTGTCTACCCAACCACATCGACCAGGAAGCAGGTTCTATCCACTGCAATTCCTCGGGACACTAGCTGCACTGTGAACGTATCCACCCTGTAAAAACTATTGTGGTGTAACTTTTAAATCAAAGTTCATTGTTAAAAAGTTAAGAGATCTATCGTTTCGTAGTCAAATCAAATACAACTACCATAGTTCTAAGAGATAACAATTCTGGAACCTAGAGAGCTTTTCCAATGCACACACTCAATGCATCTACGTGTGTCTGGAATTCTCTACCTTGGGAATCAAACATGAAAACCACTGAGGCAACATTTCAGTTGTATGTGGTAAACACTGAGCTAAGCAAAGTGTGCATTGTTCAAATTACACAATCAAAGCCAATCAATCACGTATTGGTTTGGGGACTACATATATCAGGAACTGTTCTCTGAAAATGTGTCTTCTTTCCCTTTCCAGGGTCTTGGTACCCCTAATAAAAATGAATGGAATTAGATTCCTAATAGCAGAGTATGCAGAAATTGTTTATTTTGCAGACACAAGGAAGAAACTGCTCATTACCATCTAACAGCAGATTTTAGTTTAAGTCAGGGTCTTTCTCTCTCCTGTAACTCAGACGGTAAAAATGAGATATCTTTTTAAATTCCAAGACCTAGAGCAATTAAAATGAACCACTCGACCCTCGCAGCTAAAATCAGCAGCAACAAAACTCACTCCCCCACTGATCTTCGGGGGCTTTAGGGTGAGGGTTCGCCTTCATTTGCTTTAGCTGCGACTCACTGAACCATCATGTCTGCCAATGAATAAATCACAGACCGCGGTTAATAAAATTGCTTGCAAAGTTATTTGTAAAACTCTCTTAAGGGTCAAAAACTGCAACAGCATCCTGGGATGAAGTGTACTGTCCAACAAAAGCCAGAAGGTGTTTTTGACAGAAAAGATATTTCTATTTACACAGTAGTGCCAACCAGAGAAACTATCTAGTAAAAAAATAAACCTAATATATCATGAGCACATTGCACAATTCAATTGAACCTAAAGTATTTTGTGAATTAGCCATAAGAACTGCAGGTTTCTCAGGTTTCACATAAAGTGCTTTTATGTGATGCACTTATTAGTCAATTTCTCTAGCATAATAACATTAAAATATATTTTTAATCAGAGGTAGAGTATTAAGACCCAGCTCTGAATGTCCTATGATACACCATAGATGTCACGGCATTTTAAAACCTTTTAAGGCGCCTCAGTACTTCCTATTTAATCCAGCACATTTGAGTGACAATTAAAGATTGCAAATGATTCCTTAGAGGACAGAGCCATTAACTAAAAAAGGAAAAAAAGTTTTGAAATAAAGTTACACAAAAACATATATTATACACTGTTTTCTTAAAAGCTTCATTCCTGCAATAATCAGTAAGTAGCTGTCTGAAATTAAATCTTTTTCTGCTTTTTTTCCTTATAGAATATGTCCAATGGATCCAAAGAGCCATTAATGTGATTAAAATTAAAGCAGCATAGCAAAAAGGGAAAAAAAACATACATATACACTCCTAAAGCTACATGATGTATTTTTTATGTCTTTAAATGGAATTTCCAGTTCTCTCTGGCAATGTGAATGAACATCCTATAATTTAGTCAATTTACAGATTACAGGTTCAAATTGACCTTGTAGCCCATAAAATTGCTCATCTCCAGCACAGGATGAGAAGTGGGCGAAGAGTGTCATAACTGTATTTAAGGAATTTACCATAACAATGGGAAGGGGCTCTGCATGCATAATTTTAGCCACTCTTCCTCATATCAGTTTTGAATTCTGAAACAATGGCTACCCGGCACATGCTTCCTGGCTCGGCGCGCGGAGACGGTTTCAATTCACTCACCCGCACACATGACACTTGTACTCCCTCATCCCAAGGTGCCTTTTGACGTGGTTTCTGGCATCGCCAAGCTGAGCTGTTGCAAAATGGCAGATCTTGCACTTGAATGGTTTTGATCCTAAGTAAATTTAACATAAAATACGATTTGAATTTGAATAATACAGTACTGGTAGTTTAAAAAGAGGCTTAGCTCCTAAGTCATACTTTTAATCTAATTACAAATTCCTGTCCCCAAAATGAAACACTTGGATTCCTTTCTAACTTGAAAAGGCCTGTATTCTATAATTATTCCACCAAAAAGACTCTGTTTCAGTAAGTGCTCCTAACTTTCAGTAACATTTCCAAGATTTAAAATCAATGGTGATACAGTCGAGCAGTACTAAGTAGATGAGATGAGCTAAATATTTTAAATATTATCCTTACAATTCACAAAAATATCTTTTACAATCACTCCACATTTAAAATGGAACATTTTAAAAACATAAATGCACTTAGGGTAGCTGATATTTTTTACATATATTTATCATCAAATAAATAAACTTCTTAGTGGCCACCTCCTCATCTCCTCATATTTCTGCAGCTTCAAATTTATTCACATTAATAATGCGATTTTTATTTTTTGACACTCATTCCAAACGATTCGCGATACTACTATTTTAACAGCATACAATATAAGAATATATACAGTGGATAAAGTACTTGTTTTTATGGTCATTTTATAGTAAAGGATCAGTGCTGATTCTGCAAACCAGAAGTACTGACATTTGGTTGTTGTTATTAATTTTAAGAACAAATATTTCAACATAAAAAAAACCCAATACCAACAAATTTGTTTTTATTTCATAAAGGAATAAAATTAATCTATACTCAATGAGAAACCAAAATGACTTTATAGTCAACAAACTTGGCATTAGCAAGAGGCTGCACCTGGAAGAACAGTTGCCAGGAGATCATGAATACACATTAATGAGAAGCCACACTTTCAAAGGTGCAACATATATGTACCATTCTGATTTTCTAACCACTAAATCTTCAAGTAAGTCAAAATCACAGAAATCACAGTTTAAAGTCAGGACAATGCGTTTCCAGGTTTTTCGTATCATGTTTAGTCTCTATTTGGTGAAATGCCTCTTCTAACATGGTTAGACAGAATATGAAATATGTGAACTTGGATAAATATACAAAAAGAGCTCAAACAAAAAAAAATTGCAATAAATCATATTTGATCAATGAACCTTTGTGCAGTGCCCTTGGAAAAAAATCCTCCAAGAATACTTTGTTGAAATTGAAGCACTCAGTAAAAAATTTTAGAGTCTTAAATTTCAATTTAATTCCCAAAAGCTGACAAAAAAAGTGAAGCATTTAATTTTAATCTTCTAACAGAAATAAAAAAGTCAACAGTACTAAGCACGGGCAGACAAGGTTGAATATTTCACAGTTCAATGCCAATGAGGCCCGATCTCTTAATACTTCCATTTCTGTTCGAAGCAGGTGTAAAATATATTTAGCACCCGAATGGTTACATCTAGTCAGCTTTATGTGTAAATGTCAAAAGCAGGTTGAGACTGCAGCTCACAGCAATCACATTCTATCAATCACATTAGAAACTACAGTTTATCTAAATGATTCTGATAAAACGAAGCCTATCGCTACTTTGAAACACTTCATCTCAACAGAGACCTCTATAAAGGGACTTACGGAAGAGGTGAGTGAGAAGAGCCAAGGTAGCCATACTTTGAATTAAAAGGAATTCAAGATAAGAAGGCAATTAGGAAATTATTCCTTAACAATAACACCACGACTTCAAACAAAGAAGATAAAGCCCTCTCAACCCTGGGAGTACAATTTGATGCAAGGATTTAAAGCACCTGTCTCGTGGATTCAAGGTTTTGTCCCGCTCATCTGCGCTGACACCGTGCGAGCCCGCAGGCCACCGGGGCCGGGCAGAGGTCGTTCTGTCGCCACCTGCCTGGGCCTGGCTCCTCGGTGGGCCGGCCGGCCCCTCGGGTCCCAGCGATGGCTGCCAGGGCGCTGACCGCCGGGGCAGGCCGTGCTAACAGCTCCCGCCTGTGCCACAGAAACCCAAGTACGAGGGGACGAGAGGTGACACTTTCCTGTATAAATGCAAATAAATATATACACGTCCCTTTTTTCCTAACACTTTCCATTTTTAAGCTTGCTAGGCAAGCATTATGTTTATAAGGCACATTTTATAAAACCACATATTTCTAAACATATTTTTTAAGGTGTACTGTGATCATTATAAACTGCTGATATTGTTTTAAATAGTTCTATTGCTTGGGCCGGCATGACCCTCAGCAGGTTCTTTTCTCTTCTCATTGGGCCTGTGAGGTCTTTTGAAAGGGAAAAACAAGAGGCGCTCTCGCTTTCCAGCTGCGACAACGTCACCGACGAGACTCCGAGGCCCTTCAAAACCAAGGCTCCGCTCACGGTGACGCAGGCATTCTCCAACGGCCGTCAGGGCTGCCTGTCGTGCGAACACGGACGTGGCACCGACATTAAAAAAGTAACAAGACTTTAGGCCCTGAAGGATCGAGCCAGACGTACACAACCCATCTCTAATGCCTGCCAACCGTGGCCTGAATTCTGTTGGCTTGGCCAAAAAGTTCATTTGCTTGTTTTCTGTATGATGACTCTGGTAGTGGTTGGTTGTCTTTAACTTCATTTAAAAGAATTTTGTTAGGTTGTCCCATCAGCATGCATTTTAAAAAAAAGTATCAAAATTAGAGAATTTTTGTGCAGCCATTTTAATACTGAAGGTGGAAAAAGATATGGAACATTTTGGCATATTATGTTTTATTACTTCAAGAAAAGTAAAAACAACTGAAATGCAGAAAAAAGGTTTGTGCAGTGTGTGAAGGTGCTGTGACTGATGGAACATGTCAGAAGTGGTTTGCGGAGTTTCTTGGCACTACTGACATTTTGACCAAATTCTTTGCTGTGCAGCTGTTATGCACTGGAGGATGCTTAGCAGCGCTCTGGCCTCTACCACTAGAAGTCAATAGCTGAAGACAGCCAATACACTCAAAATACCCAAATCAATAGAGTCATTGGTGAAAATGCAAATCGTGTCTTTTATTTTACGGAAAAAACGTAACGGACTTTTTGGCCAACCCCACACAATCCTCCCTAAACACTGAACATTTGTTCACTCATTCACTTATTCATTCACCCAACAAACAGCACTGAGCGCCAACTACGCGTAGGGCACAGAGTTGTAGCAGCGAGCAAAGTAAAGCCCACGCTCTCACTCTGCTCACAGTCCACAGACTAACTCTCCTAAACCCTCTCCTCAAGCTGATTTGGCTTCTGAAAACTGGCGCGCGGTATGTTACCAACACCACCAGCTCTAACTTGGAAACAGCTCCAGTAGGGCTTAGCGAAGTCACACAACTCACTCTCCCTGCATGTGAACAATTTCAAACGGCACAAATGACTGGCGTACTCTGAGCCTGAAATGAAGGGCTTCAGTCTTCTGGCCGGGAGGCATCTTCCACGTTCCATGGAACCCAGCTCTCCCGGAGAGAGCAACGTGGGAGAGAGAGGCACCGGGTGCTCGTCCTGCTGGTGCGAAGGGAAAGGGGACACTCCCTGTCCACTCCTGCCGGCGGCTTCCGACGGCAAGCACACCGGGAAGCTCTGCGTGCCTTTTCCCTACAATCCTTGACGACCGAAGCTCATTTATTTCTTATAGGGCTGCTTTCACCGTACTAAGGATGGGAAGGAAAGGTTACATAAAACATAGAGTAAATCACAAAGTATGAAAACAGGGATTGGAAGAGTAAGCCCTTTTCCAGTTAACCATTAATAACAGTCCCTGCATCACTATTTCATGGACAGAAGCAACATATCAGGAAAGCAATTCATTCTAAGCCGCGCCAAGAAAACACTTGGAGTGACAACCTGGAGGGCAACTTCCCCCAAAAAATGACCTGCAAGACAGAAATGGCAGACTGGCACCGCCAGGCTTCAGAGCGCAGCAGAATGAGCTGCTGATAAGCCCAACACAAAATGTTAAAAAAAGTACACTAACTTTTACTAAATGTTACAATCAATGATGTAACTTATATAAGTAGGGTTACTTTGTCACATATTGATAGTTACTTCACTTTCACATCCACATTAACTTGATTTTAAATGCAATTAATACATATAGTCAAGGAAGACTAATGGACTACATTCTGCACTTAACCTGGTGGACATTTTCAAATGGCACAAGTGACCAGTGCAAACCTATTTTGCATTGTAAACGACTAAATAAATCTTAATGGATTAAGAATGATCAGCTATCAACACACAAGGGAAATTAAGTGCTGAAATGCCTACATTGATTATTTTAAATTATTAGCCTTACTCTGTTCTTGAATTTGTATGCTTTTAGTGAGCTTTAACACATTTACAAGACTTATTGACTATAATTACAAGAGAATTCAAGTAATGGACACATCAATTATAAGCAACATGTCTTGACCGGACAGTTGCATAAAGAATTCTAAAAAGAGCTCCATTAGCATCTTCCCTTCGCTTCTCTCCATTGTATCTGCCTTAGGGGGGCATATTACGAAAGTACGTATCTTGTGCACATGTGAACAAGCCCAATCTCTAAAATCACATCACTTTAGAGCGTCAGCGGCGACACAGCACCGGCAGACGTTAATACTGCCAACAAGCAGCCGGCGGGGCTCTGCGGCGCGGGGGAGGCTGGGATCCAGTGTGACGCGGCCGTTTACCCAGGTTAATCTTACATGCAGGGCCCCGCTACCTCCACCAATGGCAAACTTTTCTCTGTCTTTAATCACCCTAAACTATTAATAATGTTTCATACTCTTTTGTCTTCTTTCTTGTGACGATGCAAAAAGTTTCAAAAACTGCATGAATTTAAAGTATAGCTTTAATAATAAGCCATTATTTTAAAGTACAGTAAAATAAACCTTACAGTTTTAATGAAAATATGTTCATTAAAATGTGAATTTATTATTCAAATCCACTCATAAATTCACCCATGGAGACAGAACTTGTCTAAGCAGAGCACAGTGATTTAGAAAAGATGTCTATTTAAAATAAAGAATGTATGGCAGGTTTATAGAAACAGTGCAGTGAATTTTTACATAAATTTAGAACAGTGGCTTATATATTTTCCAGCAAAAAAAAAAGTTTTTAAAAATTTCTACCTAAAATTAAACAGGAAGAAGGAACCTGTTTGGGCAGAGCATAGGAGCCGGCCAGGTCCCGTCTCCTCGAAAACTGGACCCCGGAAGACACTGGCTTCGACAAGTGTTGACTACTTCTGACCCTTCCAAGAGGAATGTTGTTGCCTACGAGTTACACTCTTCAACATAAACTATCTGGCAATGAATATTTTTAAAGCCCTAAAGTTATAGAAAAATTTTTGTTATTGTATTCCTCAAAAACCATTTGATTTGTCCTCTGAAACGCAACATGTCACTGAACAGATACCTTAGAAAACCAAACAGGTGGGACTTCAAGCATCTGAAAAGCTCTGAAAGACGGGAAGGCACCAGAAGCCTCAGAGGGAGGAGACTTTCCGGTCACATCGGCGGGGCTTGCGGAACAGCCTATCTTTGGGGTTGGTGAGGCTTCAGTGCCCTTAGAAAGCAGCTGTCCTGGGCCCCCCACCTCACCCCCGCCGAGCACTGAGAACAGGCCAAGGCCGGAGTAATCGCAGCAAGGACTGCACACCTGCTGGCTGGGTGGGAGGGTCCGGACTTCACCCTGCATGTGCACGTTACGGCAAAGCGCGGCGGCTGTGGCTCACGTACCTGTGTGCGTGCGGATATGGGCCAGGAAGGCCATGGAGTTGCTGCTGCGGCACATCTTGCCGCAGTACTTGCAGACATTGCCCTGGTTCTCCTCCCGCTCGCGGTTGATCTGCTCGGTGTCCTCCACTATGTACTTGTTCACCTCCCGAAGCAGCTCCTCGTGCTGTCCTTTGATGTGCAGAAACAAGTTCTGCTCCGAGTCGAAGGGCTCCGTGCACTTGACACACTTGAAGGTGGCCCCACCCTCCGGGAGCTCCTCCACGCTGGCCTGCTCGTTGCGCATGTGGCCGGCACTGGCCAGGTGCTGGTGCAGGTTGCTCTCTGTGTAGAAGGACTTTCCGCACAGGAGGCAGTGGAAGTGTTTCTCCTTCGTAGGATGCTTCATGGCTATGTGGACGTTCAGTCCACTCAACCCATCTGCTAAGAAACCACAGTCGTCACAGCGGATGCGCGGAGATTCGCCGCAGGAGCTGCCTTCGCATTTCTTCTTTTTCGCAACCTGAGCACAGTCTTTCAGGGGCGACTCGCTCATTCTCACTTCTGCTGCGATCAGACCTTCCTCAGGTGGGTCTATCAGCTCTCCATCTTCTGAGTTCTTTATTCTTATTATGGAAGAATCAAACCGGCCAAAACTATACATGGCCTGTCCTTTATCATCAATACTGATTATAGTTTCATAAACACTGTTACTTTCGACTATGCTTTCAGAAGCTGGACCATCCTCCTCCATAATAATCTCAGTTTCTTGTTGAGAATTTATCAGAATGTCCTTACTTTCTATTTGCATAGCTTTCGAATCCTCTGAGTTCTGCACAGTTCCAGCTCTGCCCTGACCGCGGCCCTCCAGGGTTAGTGGTCCTTCTGTCATTCTCAGCACCACGGGGGCGGCGCCTGCAGCCGAACGGGCTCCGTCCACACCTCCGGGACACCTGGGCTTGCTGAGGGCTCCACCTGCCTTGTCTCCGCCATTGCCTCCATCACTCTCGCAGTGTCCACTTGGATCCCCAATGTCACTCGACCTATTGTGGTTGTTCCTGACTACCTCATAATTCAAAGCTGAGATTCCCGAATTTTCATTTTGAAATTTACTGGGGGAGCTGTGATTAGGGGAAATGTTAAGGGGCACCATCTCCTCCGGGTCCCTAACTTTATCCTTGGCGAGGGGCCGTTGGAAAGTTTCACAAAAGGAAGCATCTTCACTGAGATTAGATTCTTCTTCCGTCTCAACTTCTATAGAGTCAGGGACACAGAGCACTTTAGGCATGTCTAAGTTAGGGTTCTCATCTAAAATAGAACCATCGGCAGCATTTCTGGTTTTAAGAGTTTCGGGCGGCTGGTCGGCAATTATTCGAAATTCTGCAGAATTGTGCTGAGGCTGCTCCTCAGGCACAGCGATGTTTCTGGAAGTTCCTGGGGATCTCTCTACGTCAGAAGCGTCCAGGTAAGACTGCCTTTTCACCTTGTGCTTTTCGGTTGCAGCGTGCCTCGTCATCTCCCGGTGAGTCACCGCATAGTAGTCACACGCCATGCAATAAAACGCAAACTCTCTTGTGTGCTTCCGTTTCACGTGCAGCTCTAGAGAAGCAGGAGAGTGAGCGCCAAACTCGCAGTGTGCACATTTATTACCCCCGGTGCCCGTGGCTGCTGCCTGGGAGCATGCCTCCCCCGGCTGCGCCAGGTCCTCTGGCTCCAGACGTCCTTGCTCCTTCTCGTCAGTAAGGTGACTACTGCTAGCTCCCCCGCCTATAGGATGAAGTACATTTTCAACTCTGACCTCAATCGAATCTCCATGCTCTTGTCCTGGCTTTTCTGAAATGGAGGGATCTGGTTCAGCTGACTTATTAGCGCGTTCCTCTGAACTGGTGTTCTTGCTACAGGCTGCAAGGCTACCCCCTTCTGGGCCAATAATGATATCTGAACTTTGTTTCCCACTGGCTTCGATTTCTACACGCCCTTTGTGTTTCTTGGTGGCACAATGGCGTTCCATGTCTCCCTTAGTCACGGTGTAATACTTACACACTTTGCATAAGTAGCTGTACTGGTGACTGTGTTTCCGTCTAATGTGAACGGTCAGGTTTGTGATACTCGAGGCCAGAAGGCCGCAGTGCGAACACGTCCGTGAGATGCTGCCTTTCGGTCTCCCTCTCTTCGGAGTGGCGCTCACAGCCAAGCCGTCATCTTTGGTGACCCCGCCAGGCTGCGGCGGCTCCTTGGCGGTCAGCCCGCTCTCCCCCAAGGAGGGGCACTCCTGCCCCTGCACGCCTTCGGCCCGGCCTTCGGCCCTGTCGTTTCCGGAAACGGCAAACTCTTCCTTTTTGTCACTGGCGCCTATGCAGACCCTTTCAATACACTCCTCAAAGCTTAAACCGATATTATTTTTCTTAGCATTTTCAAGATGTTTGCTTCTCTTAATGTGTTTCTCCATTCCTTCTTTGCTCAGTGAATAAAGGTTACATGCTTTACAAAGAAAGTGGTAGTCCTGACCGTGCCGGAGCTTTATGTGCCTTGTGAGGACAGTGGAAGACCTTGTTTTGTAAAAACACTTCTTGCACTGAAACTGAGGCCTACTCGAATGCCTCGTTTCGCTGCCGTGGCTCGCCCGGGGCTTGGCCGGCTCTTCCTGCGCCACTCCTCCTGACTTGCTCATAGACCCTTTTGTGTTTTCTGATTCTAAAGTACTTAAAGCCTGTGAAACCGAATCATCGTTAAGTGATTGCGAAGTCTTTGGCTGAGCCAATAAGTCAAGGTGCTTCTCCGTCGCCTTGTGTTCCTCCATGTCCTTCTCAGACAAGAAGAAGAGCTCACAGGGAGAACAAAAGACGCCTGTGCCATGCTTCTCCCTCACGTGGTCTCGGAGAAGCATTTCGTCCGAGGGCACGAACGAGCAGCCCGGGCAGTGGAGGACAGAGGCAGCTGGCTGATGCTGGTTGTTGTGCAAATGCACCTCTGGGTCCCGCCTCGATGCACTGGGAACGTCACATGTCTGGCAGGACACCTGTACCTCTCTTGCGTGGCACCTTTGCATGTGGACTTCCAGCTCTGTCCTACCTGCAGCCACCTGACCACAGTCTGTACATGCATGCGACGCCTGCCGGTCAGAGGCTGCCCTCACTGCCGGAGACTCCAAGGAGCAAAGGAGGCGGGCATTTCTCTCGTCCTGCTTCAGGTCCTCGGTTTCCGAGGAAGTCACGCTCGGACCGTGGGCACCGCCACTCGCTTCCACAAGCCTCGGCACGGACTCTGTGTCGCCTGTCTTCATCTGTGTCCTAAAGTGTTTCATGTATATCTTCAGAGTCTCGCTGGTACCTCTTTTATTAATTCCTAAAAGATTAAATCTTTTCTTGGCCTGGCCTTTTAAGGGGAACGTGCCACTTCGCCGTCGGAAGCTGCTGGCCAGCGAGAGCGCGCTTCGCTCGGGTCTTGGTCTCGAGGCTGTGCCGATGCCGTGCGCTGTCTGTAAGGCCCTTTTGGTAGATTCCAGTCTGTCTAAGAGACCCTGTGCAGTTACTAAGGCTCCTAACTTTTTACTCTGGTTTTCAGGACTTCGAGCTGTACCAAGAGAAGTGACATTTTCTTCAACAATCTCTCCCTTTTCTAGCAAAGTATTCCTGGATGGCCTCATTTCAACAAGCTCACTGCTACTTTCACTCTGTTTAGAAATGCTTCCTCTGAAGTCTTTACATTTGCTTCCAACGTTTCTTAGTCCTTTTGAATCACTATTCTTTGCAATCTGGTTAGACACCCTTAGCTTTGCGCAAACATTTTTTGTTCCGACGGTACACGGTTTCTTAGGAAAAGGTTGTTTTGTTAAGATCTGCACAAATCCTCCACGAGCAGCAAGATTCTGACGCCGCAGGTGTGTCTTGCCAAGACAATGTGCATTCAGAAGGTTCTCTTCCACACACTGAAAGCCACACAGATCACAGGAAAAGGCTTCCTGCGGCCCGCATGTCTGCGTGACGTGCCCCCGCAGGGCCGCGCTGTCCCCCGTCCTGTGGCCGCAGTGGCAGAGGGCAGCCCCCTCGGACGCTGGCATGTGGCCCTCAGCATGCTTTTCCAGATCAGAGCAAGAAGAAAACAAATGGTCACATGTGTTACACTTGAACACCGAATCTGCGCTTCCCACAGTGCAGCCAACACCAGTCGTCTCTTTCGCGGCCAGAGGAGCGTCTGCTTCTGGGTCAAGGGAAACCACTTCCTGCGCAGACTTCCTTCTGGCGTCTGTTTTCAGCGAGGCCACGTCCACTGTGCTAAAGCTGAAGAGAGGGGAGCAGGCCGTAGGGAGACACGCGTCGCCCTCCGAGATGGATGCCTTCGCTGTGTCCCCTGACGGGACCCCCACTTCTGAGCACCCACGAACGCCCTGCTCTCCGGGTCTAAGGGGCTCGGCCTCACCTAACTTCATTCGCTTGGAAGCGCGATTACTGCCATCTTCCTCCAAAATGACGCTGTTTGCTGAATCTGAGAAAGCTCTTTTGCTCGTGGGATTCTCAGCGGAACCCACCATCACATCAGACACGAGGTCACAGTCCATCCCGTCATGGGGTGAAATCTTCCTCGGGTCTTCTGCTTCTCTGCTTACATCTTCATCCTCATCGTTCTCCGGTTTCTTTTCGGCATCCATCGTTAACAAAGTGCTGACGGCGTTCCCTGCGCCAAGGGTGGCTCACTTGGCACTCATAACCTGTGAAGAAAATGAATGTGCTGTTAAACCTCTGAACATACAGAAGGACACACATGTCAATCCAAAGGTCAACACAGAATGACACACTGGACGAAAAGTATCAGAATTAGCCTCAATGAGGTTTCCTTTATACTGAGATGAATTCGCTCACATGACCCTCTGTGAAAAGGATGAAATTGGATTTAGGGAACGCCACATCACTATGCCATGATTCAGAAAGCAATGCTATGGGGTCTTTGATAGAAAAAGGGATTCTCTCAACCAGTGTGCAAAAAACACTCGCAAGCTTCAACTCCCTTGACCGATACATTTCCATTTATGATTTTTTTTCTAAACAGAGAAGCCGTCTTTTCACACGGAGTTTCCGTGAGCCCCCTCTGTAGCGCAGACCACGACAGAGCCGCGGCAAGGTGAGGCCGGATGTCGGGCTTGCCCCGCGGGGCAGGCCTCCCCGGCGGGAGCCCGGGTCCCAGAGTAAACAAAATGTGTTTAAAGCCACTGCACTTGACCAGCGTCCATTTCTTCACCTAACAGCCATTTTGTGTTGTCTGAGATTGATGGTAAAAGGAAATGTCAATGGTAGAGTAGAAGTAATGATGCAAATTTGGGGGAGAAAAATTTATTGGATAAAATGCTCTAAAATCAATTACATTGATTTTATTTTTCATTATGCTATTTAATTCAATTAAAACATCATTTTCCAATTATTGTACACCAAGATTGGAATTTTCAACCAAATGCCATTTGATTTCATGCTAATAAAACCAGTCACATAATATGACCTCAAAGCTAACGGTAACTGTTTTAATTACTTTTTCCACAACAAAGAAGCCAAATGATGGCTGTTGCTTTGACTGTGCTAAACGCAGGGAACAAAAAATGTATATGACATCACATCCAAAGCATAAGCAACAAAAGAAAAAAAACTGGATAAACTGAACTTCTTAAAAATAAAAACTTCAAATGACACTATGCTTCAAAGACCACTGTCAAGAAAATGAAAAGACAACCAAGAGAAGGCAAAAAACTTTGCAAATCATATAGGACTTAATCTAGAATATATACAGAACTCTTACAGCTCAATTGAAAACTTACAAACTAATTTTAAAGTGAGCAAAGGAGCTGAATATACTTTTCTCTAAAGAAGATACACAAATGGCCAAAAAAAAGAAAAAAAAAAAAAAACTGTGAAAACATAACCTAGGCAGCAGTCACCAGAGAGAAGTAAACAAAACCCTGCTGCGATACCACTTCACACCCACTAGGATGGCAAGAATCAAAAAGGCCGAGAACAGCACACACCAGTGAAAGCGTGGAGAAAGCAGAGGAGCCCTCATGCAGTGCTAGCAAGGCCACGAAAGATGGAACATCTGCCAGCCCTTCAAGGCACTACCCATGGCGCTGCCATGAAGCCCGTCAGTGCCACTCCTAGGTATACCCCCGAGGGAGGGCGAACAGACGCCCACACAAAGACTTGCACACAAACGTTCACAGAGCATTACCCATAATAGCCAGAAGTGGAAACAACCCAAATGTTCACCAACAGACTAGCGGGGAAACTAAATGTGGTACACCCATACAGTGGAATACCATTCAGACAGAAAAAGAATGAAGTCCTCGTACACGCCACAATAGAGACAAGCCTTGAAATCATCATGTTAAGTGAAAGAAGCCAGCCAAAAAAGACCGCACACTTTAAGATTCTCCTTATAGGAAATGTCCAGAATAGGCAAACCTATAGAGACAAAGAGTAGATTACTGGTTCCTTGTGGGTGGGGGGCGAGTGGATAGCAAAAGTGTACAGTGTTTCTTTTCTGAGATGATGAAAATGTTCTAGAGTTCACTGTGGGGACAGTTGCAAGTATCTGTGAATATATTTAAACACACTAAATTGTAGTGGGTTGTGTTTTTTTTTTTTAATTTTTTTTCTTGTATTGATTCTAGAGGGAGGAGAAGGGAGAGAGAAAGAGAGGGAAGAGAAGCATCAATTGACTGCCTCTTGCACAGCCGAGTACTGAACCTGCAGCCAGACATGTGCCCTGGGTGAGGCTCAACCCCACGACCTCCCGGTTCACATGGTGACATACAACCGACTGAGCCGCACCAGCCAGGGCCAAAGAATTGTAGGTTAAATGAGTGGATTGTATGATACATAAATATCTCAATAAAGTTACTTAAAAATATATAAATTTTCATGTATAATCGACAACACAAAATCATCTTGTATTTGTTACTGTATTGCTCTTATTATTAAAGAGTGAAAAAGAAATGCACGTAGTTTTATTACACATGTAAGATATTCACTATTTCTTCAGAATGTGTTCCAGAGAATATAAATTACATAAGAGGTTAATAAGAGGATTTAGGGGGCGGGGGGGCAGGCAGGGACACCCTGGCCAAATAAGTTTAGAAAACTCTGGTTTGACCAATATTCCTTTACCACAGTATTTCTCAGTACATAAGCATTTCCCAAATTAATTTCATTACAGAACCCTGTTTGTAAAGTATCAAGAAACTGGTGTTCCAAAGGACCCTTTAGAAAATGCTCTTTTAGAAAAGGCATTGGCTTTGTTACTCAACATTTGTAACATGAGTGCAAAAGGGGCAAAGGAGGAATGAATTAATCATATGTCTGGTCCAAAAATTTCATTTAGTGCCTACTGTATGCCAAGTGTTCTTGGTTATAGATACTGGAATCACATCAAAGAACAGCCTAAAACTTCTGCCTTACAGTGCAAGGGCGGAAACAGCATTTTCTTTAACATATATATTCTCCTTCTAGGATATCCCCTCCCTTATGGTAAATAAGGAGAGTCACAGAGACGAGTGTACCCCACGCACAGAACAACTGGAAAGGAAAAGCAGACAAACCTGTGAAAGGCCGCCCCCAGACCCTGGACTCCTGGCACCAGAGAGCAGCGGTCCCTGAGAGTGGGGCTTGCCCCCCGGGCGTCTCTCTGCAGCGGGGACTCCACGGCAGCACAGGGGCAGGCCCCCCAGCAGAGCAGAGGGGCAGCCAGGCGGCAGGGCAGGGTAAGGAGGGGAGAGGGGGCCGAGGGAGAAGCAGACGGCTGCAGAGGGCCCCGTGGGCGTGGCCCTATCAAGACAGACAGCACCGCCATCTTCCAAAACAATGGGCTCGGGCCACCTCACAGTAAGTCCCCTCCAGAGGCCGCCCCTCCTCGGAATCCCCGCACTAGATAAGCTCTCCTGTCCTGGAAGCTCCTGGAAACAGGCTCAGGCGCTAGGCCTCCGGAGGAAGGAGCGCCAGGCGTCTCCTGCTCAGCATGACGTCCCAGCTGCGTTCTCAGCGATGTGTTCCTGCGGCTGCGCCAAGACTCTGGCCACGGCTGCCAGAGCTGAGGCCCTTCCTCTGGCCTTCGAAGCAGAGCCGCTGCGAACATCCCTACGAGCCTGTTTGTGAACATGTATCGCCATCTCGTGTGCAAGTACCTGGGGCGGTGCTGCCGGGTCACAGGGCAGAGCGTTACCTTACGAGGCACCACTGGGCTGCTATGCAAAGTGGCCATGCTGTTTCCAGAGCCACCAGCAGTGCCAAGAATGCCAAGTGACCGGCGTCCTCACCCACATCAGACACCTCAGTCTTTCAGATGCTGACCACTCCAGTGGGTGGGCGTGGCCCCCCGCGTTTCCCTGATGACCAGTGGCAGCGCCCGCGCTCTGTGCTGTGTGAAGTGCTTGTCAGCCTCCTGCCCGTTTTTAACTGGGTTGTTTATAGTTGAGCGGGAGGCACTGCCTATGTATTTCAGGCATAAATCCTTGATCCGATAAATGTTTTACAAATGTTTTCTCCCTTTTCATTTTATTATTGTCATCTTCTGTTAGCAGAAGTTTTAAGTCTCGACGAAGTCCATTGTTTTCCTGGGCTGGTTAATAACATGTCGACTTTGTTTTCTCTCTCCCCACGCCAGACTGCAAGGCCAGGGTTCACAGCAGCCGCCCTGCCATCCCCAGAGCCCAGAACGGTTCCCGGCCCCCGTCAGGCACGGCAGCGAGCGAACACTGCCCTGTGATGTGAGAAACGTCTCCTCACTGAGCGCTCGCAGACGACATGAAGAGTGTCAGAGACAGGCTCCAAAGCAGGCCCGGAGAGGCGCGCGGTGACAGCTGCGCACTGCCGATGACGGAAGCCAGCTGACAGGGGCGGGGGTTCGACACAGGAGTTTTCCAAAGTCTGTACATGCACCTGTTTGAAAATGTCCCTAAGGAAAGTCAGGTTCAAAGGTTTTCAATGCCTGGTCTAGGGTGGCGTGATTCTCTTCCTCCCGATGGCGAGTCCGCGCGCTCTCACCCACCGCTGCTGCGGCCCCTTCCTCCGGCGTCCGCTGCGGGCAGCGCAGGGCCCTGCTTCCGTGTGGCATGCACACGGCACCTGAGCACCAACTTCGGGGAGACCCACGCGCGTCATGGCCATTCACAGTAAGTGTCCTAATGGTGACACCCAGCTCATACATTTTTGGAGATTAAAAAATGACAACTATATGAATATGCAGAAGCAAAATAATGACGCCCTTTATTATCGTCTACAGAATGGCTCCAAAAATTATAAAACAGAAGGAGAAAATGTCTCTATAACTGTTACTTCCCAACGCATTTTTTAAGTTAATGAAATAACTCACCAAGTCACTATATCAAGAGAGAACATCCACCAGTATGGGCCAAGCACCTTGTGAAAGGGCCGCGGGGACACAGACGCCCGCTCCGCCCTCCGCAGGCTCCCTGCTGCCCGGGCCGTGAGCGCAGGCGCCCTGGGGCAAGGTCACAGCAACGGCTGTGTGCGTGGCACAAGCTAAGGTCTAAGCAGGAGCGCGGGGGCAGACTCCCCAGTAGAGCATTTGGCTAAAAGAGCAGGAACACCATTCAAGCTAAACCTTGAGGAAACTACAACCACAGTTTTCTTTCATTGGGGGAGCAGGCAGGAAGGGGCAAACAGCTCACATGGAAGACAAGGCACAGGCGAAGCCAGAAATCACGCACGG